TTTCTACAGGAGGGGAGAAAAGAAAAAGAAAAAAAATACAGGCTGCACGTATCTACAGCATGGATATTGTTGGGGGATTTAATTAATTAGCGACTGTAAAACATGTTGAGTTCTTCCAAAGGGAGACTTTATAGAAGTGCAAAGTAATATAAATTAATCACTCCATTACGTACACTGGCTCATTCCAGAGGAGGATCTCAGCCACGTGGTCGCGACAATAGTGTATAAATAAGGGTAATAGCCCATTATTACTTGAGCTTCTACATTAGTCACAATTTATCTGAGAATGGGCACTGCAGCATGCACTGGGATTCACTGATAACCCTTTTTTAGAAGTTTTTTTTTTTTTTTTTTATCTCTCTCTTCCTCCCAAGCTTTTCCCCTGCTCCTTTTGACCAGACTTCTTTTGCTTTAACCTAGAGGTTTATTTCTTTGCAAAATACCGACACACCAGCAGGATCATCTGGGCATTTCTAAGTGGCTAGGATATGTATTCCCAGGCCTTAAACCAGTTTTGCACTACTGCCTTTCTAGCCAGTCAATAGTTTCTCGTGCCAAAACGATGGCGGGCTAGTGATTGATTCGAGTCATGGTCGCATGACTGATTTAAAATAAAAGATGATTCAGCCTAGGGTACCCTTTAATGCTGCATCACTTTAAGGGCAGAAAGACCTTGTACAAGGGACATCCTATCTTATTCTGTGCTTATTTGGGCTGTGCTTATGGGCTGCTGTCGTGGTGAACGTCAAGCTGTAACAAGCAAAATGCTCCAGACAAGCTTATTTGGTTAATGACCAAGTCGGAGAGTAAATATAAACAGCATTATGTACACTTATAAGTGCAATCAAACAGCTGGGCTTTGAGTCAAGCCAACACTAACATCTGCTGGGCAAACCACTGCGTCCTTCTCATATTAAAGAGCAAAATGCTTTTTTTTTTTTTGAGCACCAAGCACGTGAAATTCGAGAGCTAGGAGAAAGCGAGAGAGAAAAACTAAAACATAAAAGCAGTCCCAGCTGAGGAACTAAAGGCTCGATCACATGCAGCCAAAGGAAACTGCCTTCCGTTACAGGTGATAAAAACTGCACTCAGCATCCCCTGATCCATGGCTTCCCAAAGCCCTCCGAGCACAGCCCTCCTGTGGGCTCCTCGTGTGCGAGGAACCCCTGGAGACAGGGAACAGCTCATTCCTTGGCTGCGGGAAGAACCCGCTTCCTTGGGGCTCCCGGGGACTTGGCTGCAGGTATAACCATTCACTGGCTCGCCCTGGAGGAACTGAGCTGCTGCCAGCAATTTGTCAACATAATTTGGTCTTATTGTTTTCCTTCTGAAGTTTTATCTTATTTTCTTTTCCTAAATTAAATACTTATTCATTAGAAAAGACGTAATACATTATGTTTGAAACATTCGTCAGATTTTGCATAACTCCTCCCTTCTAAAAGCCTCCCACAATCTCTTGAAGTTAGTGGCCCACCATTTAAGGTCTACTTGTGCACACTCCTCTACTTGTGAGGAGGAAAAGGGGCTGCTGAATAAAGTCTTTGTATCTGCTTTCTAGAAACTGAGCTCAAAAATTTGCCGTTTTTCCTTATTTACCACTGTGGTTGTTGGTTATAGTGCTGTGCCTTAACTTCACTCGGAGCAAACATTCAATACACCTGCTCAATACCTTAAGTGTATAGTCTATAATACTGACAGCCACAGGACAGAAAGACTTTGTCTTTGCAATCCACATACTGCATCCCACTTAATTTTTGGAGGGCAAAGTTAGTAATAATCCTCAGAGAACCTGTTCTCCACCCATATTAAAAAAAAAAAAAAGTTTTTAAGTCTAGTTATTCATTGGGGGGAGAAAAAAAAAGCCTTGAAAAATATAAACCGGTGAGTGGGGCTGAATATATGCCTTGGTGATGTTAAAAATAGAGTTCCGTATGTTTTCCGTGTTACACACGCGTGCGCCGTTGCTCCCACTCTCCGCCAAGTGCT